CTGTTTTATATATATATATATATATATATATATATATATATATATATATATATATATATATATATATATATATATATATATATATATATAACAATTTTATTTTAAGTGTGTCTGTTGTGCGGACTTTTTTTTTGTTTGTCAAGCATAATTTGGTTTGGATGACTAATCTCAAATACATAAAAATTACTGCATCTTCAAACATATTGCCTAGCCCTATTTTAAACTATTACAAACCATGCCTGGCACAGCTTAATAGATTGTGTTAATTCAGAATTTGAGTAATAAATCATAAAATCTGAGATCATGTAGTGAGCGCTGTAATGTTTAAGTCTTATTTCCAGAAGCAAAGGTGGCGTTTGAGGAACCTTTGGAATTGCCTGAAAGCCAAAGCAACACATCTAAAAAAGCTGTTAGAGGACGTAAAAAAACTGACGTTCCAGCTGAAGATGAATCTGCCGACTCTAAACGTGATCGGGCAGTAAGAGCTGCTGAGCCTAATATTTCTGAGGTCAAGTCAAAAAGAGGCAGGCAGACCCGGCGAGGCCTGCCATCAACTCTGGGGGAAGAGGTTCTTACACCTGCTGTTGCAACTCCCGTTAAAACCACCCGAGGAAGAAGAGCAAAACTTGTGCCAGGAGCTGCAGAGGACAAGACGGATGAAAATCTGAGTAGAGGCAAAGCTGGGAAGCCAATAGAGAGCAATGAAACGATGCATGCAGAGAAGGAAATTACAGAGCAGGGAGCTCAAGTTGAGCCTTCTGCTGAAGCCAGACAGGGCCGTAAGGCTGCAGTGGTTCCTAAAAACGCTCTTACGCCCGTCAGAAAAGCTGGTAGGGGGAGAACAGCAAAGCGGATGGCTGATACGAAGGCCACTGTTGAGATGCAAAGCGTTGAAACGGAGCTCCAAAGCCCCACCAAGGTGGTGGATGGTCATGGCCAAGAGCTTGCGTCTTCACCCCAAGTGACTAAACCGAGAAGAGGAAAGAAGACTAGATCTGATGAAAATAATACTGCCTCAGAAAGTTTGAGAGAGGATGTATCAAAAAAAGAAACCAATTTGGTTACTGTAGCTGAAGAGCCAGCCAGTCCTATCGTGAAGCCTCACCGTGGGAGGAAGCCAAAGACCCTTGTGAAGGAGGTAGAGCAGCCATCACCTGCTGTGTTGCCAGCTAGAAGAATGTGCCGGGGTGGGCCCTCTGAGGCCGCTGCAGTGACTGGTTCTCCTTCTGTCCACTCATCGAAACCTGGTCGTGGAAAGAAAGTGCTGGATACTCAGGAAGAGAAGCTGGTTCAACCCGATGCATCCTCCACTAAAGTTGGAATAAAGTCCATCAGGAACACCAGAGGGTCACGTAAAAATAATCCGATTGCAGACGCTGGAACTGCCAGTGTTTGTGTTGCCGCTCCTGTACCTTCCAAGGTGGAATCCATGGTTCCGCCAAATGAATCCCCAGGGCTGGATAACCTTGTCATTGAAAATAAAAAGAACACAACCAGAAGAGGAAAAGCTGCCCCTCAAGATTCTGAAGCCAACAAAGCTGATAAAAAATCAGCAGTGGAACAAACGGTTGCCATCAAAGCAGCGGTGAAAAGGGTTGTTTCAAAGAAAACAGCAAAGTGGGATTTGGAGATACCTGACAGCCAAGATGTAACAGAGTTACCAGGCTCTAAGAAAAGGTCCGGTGTAGCGGGCAGAGAAATTGTGGACATGTCAGCTGAAAAAACCACTGAACCGTCAACAAAGCCCCGTCGAGGAAGAGGGGCGAAAAAGCCAAGCTCTGAGTGTTCAGAGCCTGTTGTATCTGAGCAGCGCAGTGCTACGCAGTCAGAGTCAACTGCACCTCCATTGAAAAGCTCAAAAGTTAATGAGCCTGCTGCTAAGAATGTTACTGCAGCGAAAAGAGGCACAAAGCGGACGATTGCACGCGACGAGTCAGTTGAGCATTTGGAAGAGGCCTCCACGACATCTCCAAGTAGACTTTCGACCACGAAAAGGGTGAGAGGCAAGGCTGCTCGCCTAGAAGAGAACAAGCCTGCGGCCAATCAAGCTCGGGGACAAAGAGGCCCTCTGAAGAAGGCAGTGAAAACTACAGAAAAGCTGGAAGGATCTCAAAAGGTAGAAACCCCAAAGCCTGTTGGAAGGAGCAGGAAAAGGGTGGTGCAGCACATGGAACCAGAACCTGTATCCCATGACAAACAGCCAGGCAGAGGAAATGCCAGGATAACAGAACCAAGTGGTGAGTTGTTTATGGGGTGTTCCATCCATCCATTTCCATACCCACTTACCCCTATGCAGGGTCGTAGGGATCTGAATAATATCCTAGAATCTTATGGCCACAAGACAAGGAATAACCCAGGGTACCAACCCATTGCAGTTTTGCGGTGTTATTACATTATAAATACTTCTGTTTAGTTTGCTGAGAGAATAACGAATACAGTAAACAGTCTTAGTGGATCTTTTAAAGGCTTGCAGTCGTATCTATAAATGGGATCACATTAAGGTCTAAGCAACACCAAATGGGCTGATAAGGTAATTAAACCCAACGGGAGTGTTTATTGTGTTCCGGGCCTCCTTTTTGGCAGATGGTGGCAAAGTGAAAAGTGCGGCCCGTGGAAGAAGAAAGTCTCCAACCAAGCCTGAGGCCCCGAGTGTCACAGAAGCCAGACCAGTGAGAAGCACAAGGCGAAAGTGACCTTTTTGATCTGAGGTTCTGCTTTTTGTTTAATATATTTTAGTCTTACATGTAAAGCGTCCTTTGGCTGTGACTGCTTTCATTGCTGTGCTTTCAGATGCTTTTTATCTTTTCGCTTTTGTATATATGTATTGGTAGGTTTTTACTTTTTTAAGAGCAACATTACACTGAACGTTTTTTGTGTGTGTGTAATTGCCAGCTGCCAGTAAATTACTCGCAAATGTGAAAAATTTAAGGGATTATAAAAAAAGGCTAATTCCTTTTTTTTTATACAAAAAGCACTGGGTATTCAATATATATTTTTGTGAAAATGTCTATTGCTTGTTTTTTTTTTTTTTTTTTTTAATCCTGCCCGCTAAGAAAATTCTCAATCCAGGAAAGTTTGTTTAATAACATTCTAAACAAAGATGAAAACCTTTTGCTTTGACATTGATAAGATTCACAATTTTCTAATTAGACCATGGTTAAACTTTGGCATTCATTTTTCTTCCTAGTGACTTTTCTGAGAATTTTTTTTTTTTTAAATGTAATTTCACAGTAGATATTAAAAATTAAGAACTGCAGGAGACTGACACAAAAATGAGAATTCATTTCAAGCAAAGCCCCATAGACTAAATTCACCCTAATAGAATTGTGCATTGGGGCTTTGAATCGTGATACTTGGTCACACGGGGAAGACTTGTCAAAACCAGTATTGTTAATCTGTAGTTGCATGCACACTACCAAACCAATCAGTAAAGTCACTTAAGGGGAATGTGAATATTATCAAAGAGCGCTAAATTGGCACGTAATTAAAGCTTATTTTTTTTGCATTTTAAAAATCAGGATTTGCCATTGGAACCTTTCCTCATTTTAATATTCATAGCCGCAATTTACGTTAAACCCCCGCCCAACTGCATTTTGCCTATTTTTTCCAAGTAGTTTTAGTTGCTATGTAGTTAAATTCGATTTTTTTTGCAGATTAGAAATTTCAGCTTGATAGGTTTTTATATGTATATTTCATTGAGGTGTCTGTAATTCATACTCAGGTTTTTTTTTTATAAAAACAGCCAGTAAATGTTCCAGAAAATCGCAGACTTATTTTTTTTTCACTGATGCTAAAATAAACTGTTAAAAAAAAAAAAAACTACTTGTCTGTATTAATGCTTTACCGCATTAACTGACTTTGCATATACAATATTAAGACTGCAAAACAAAAAGCCTGTAAAGTTTAAGCAGGGACATGAATGGCTTTGAGAACATCACCCTCGAAGCGGAGTTTGGGCTTTTTCAGATAGTGGTTTACTGTCAAACAGGAATGAAGCGTAACAGCCTTCACTTGTGCTGTGTCTTGATAAATGCATGTTTAACAGTTCAGGGCATAGGCTAAAATCTATTTTCTTTTATTCTGGAGCCATTCTATAAATGTCCTGTCCTCATACTTTGAATGATTTCCAAATGGTGCTTGCAGCAATTAATCATGTGGGGTTCAAATGTGGTTCCTTGTATCTGTAACGTTTCAAATTTTAATCTAACCTTAGTTTCTCCTTTTGAGACCCCTCGTGTATCTTCACTTTGTTTACCTCAAATTAAACTTCAGCTGATTGTTTACCCGCCTCAGTCCCAGTGCATTTTGATAGTGCTGCTTTATTTATTTATTTATTTAAATAATTGCAGGGCTGGGATTCACATACACGTGGCCCTCATCTGCATGAAAATTATACAATTAGCTTTTGATTAACCGGCTCGTTCAGGTCCCCTCCCACCCCTCCTGCACAGAAATGCGCTGAACTGCCTGCATTTTAATAAATACCTTTATATTGGGAGCAGACTTTTCATCAAAGTCCTCCCACTCGCCGAACAACGGTCCCTGCTAAATCATCACAGGCCACACAATGGCGGAGGCTGAAAGTCATCTTTAAATATATCACGGTCGATGAAAGGGTGCAGATTGTTCTTTATCAAAACAAAAAGAAATCAAAGCTCACTCTGTGGCCAGATGGTACCTTGTAGGTGTCTTGGGTCTCTCTGAGGGCTTCTGAATGCGCGTGATGCGTTCGGGGCAGGGATGGCTCCTTCCTGGAGTGTCCTGTCACGTAGAGGCCTTATCTGGAGGTCTGAGAGCAATTATCAGGAACAATGCACCTCCAATGACTTTTTTTTTTTGTTTGTTTTTTGTTTTGTTTATGCATCCAGACACCAGAAAGGAGAGATAATGGCATTAGGAAAAAGAAAATTCTCCATAGGCCTCGTCTGGGGGCTGGAGCCCTCGATTGAATTTGCCATGGCACGCTAGACAGTAGAAAGATGTTATGCTTCTGTTGGACTGTGTTAAACGGATCTCAGCATGTTCTCTCTGAGAAGATAATGTCCTTTGTGGATATTAACAATGTCATCAGCATTAAACTTGCTATAGGGGGGGAAAAATGTTTTACATAACCTCTCTGTTAATTGGGTACAGTAGCTGCTAAGTATCTCATCTGTAAGCATGTGTTCATAGAAAGGTCACTAGCACCTTGGTATTTTGTTGCGTTTAATTTTAGTTTAAATTCTGCAGTATTTCAGGTGTATAAGCAAACTGTTTTCAGTTTTTAAATTTGTGTTATATTTCTGCTCCGGAACAACAACCCTGCAGCTTAAAAGAAAAGTTGTTCGTGTGGCTCATAACAGAATCTGTGCAATAGAGGTGTAGTGAAATATTTACTGTTGTTTTTATATGCTGGAGGAAAAAAAAACTTAATGAAAATCATATTTCATGAGAGATCGTAATCGGCGTCCAGGTAGTTCCTTTTTCTTTATGGGCAACGATATAAAAATGTAGGGAATTTTTTTGTAAACTGAGCACAAAGGCGTCCTTATTAATTTCTTAATGCAGGAGGTTTTTGTTTCGGAAGAATAAAGGGTACGGGGACATGCAGGGTAAAACAAGTGAGAATTGCCAGTTCTGAAGACGTGGCGCGATCCGTTGGGTAAAGTATAGAAAGCAGCTGGCAAGCGATCGGGGGGGGGGGAGCAGAAACGGGGCCGAAGAAGCGGCAGAATGAAGATAAAACGATGTGGCCTTTTTTTTTCTTTTTTTTTTCCTTCCTAGCTGATCGCTGGCAACAAGAAATAAGCCCAGTGAAGAAGAGGAATATATGATGGGTCATCTGTTGTATAATGAAAGAAGTCAAGATGGAAGTCAAGGTGATTCAGATTCTCTTGGGGGGGGGGGACTCTTCGAGCCTCTCAAAAATAGGCCCGGGACTGATCTATAGTTTATAAACTGACCAAAATAATTAGCATTCAAATTAGATTTGAGGACTTGGCTTGACAGCGAAAGAGAAGGAAGCCAGACTGTAGGGGCAGGCTGACAATCTCGTGAATAGAAATGTGTCTATGGCAGGATTAAAGGGATTTTTTTTTTTTTTTTTAACCCCCGAAGAAAGTTCTGTGTTCATTATGATTAACATTGTACTTGTGATAATATTCAGTCGAGTCAAATAGTGCATATCATGTTTTCGCTCCAATAGTTTGTAACAAGCTTTTAGTCGTGAATTTTAAACGTGTGGCACTCTTGCTGGGGTGGCGGAAGCAGCGTTTTCCGAGCCGCGTTTGATCACTTTCTCGGTGTCCGTCTTCATGATTTCTCTAATGCGAGAAGGGGTATTAGACAAAGACTGGCGTAGGATGACTCGCTATCGATATCTCTAACGTGACGTTATGTCTTTCCTGACCGGTGAATGTGAGACTTGTGGTTTTGGGCTGAAATCCAAGGGCCCGCTAAGAGGGAATTGTTCAAACACAAGAGGCAGAGGTCTGGGAGGGAGATAGGGAGGGATTTAGCGACTCGAGCTGAAGGATGCTACCAGAGGGGAGGATTGGGGGGGGTGGGGGAGGTCGACAAGATTAGCAGCGCGGGCCTGGAAGGCTCCGGAAGCCCTCGTCAAGTTTATCTCCCCCCGCATGGCAGGTTGCAACAAAGAGTACAACATTAATGCTGGGGGCCATAAAGCAGGACCTGTGGCGCTTCAGACTGAGTGTTACCATCTCTGCAACCCCCCCCCCAACGCACACTGTCACATACAAGGGGTACATGCTGTCAGTACCGACAGGCCTATGGGGAGAATGCAGGGCAAGGGATGGGGTTTGGAAGGGTGGGGGGGGGGGAACTAACTTTGATGTAAGCTTGTAATCGCAGCAATACAGACCTGACAGTGGAGTTTGACAAACGCCGAACAAAGCTTGTCAGTCATCGGCTAAACAAACAAAATAAAGTGTCTTATGTCACCGAATCGGAACTTCAAAGGGAATATGTTAAAAGTTGAGTCTGACGTCGCCAAGGAATAAAATAATCGTCCCACTGTTCAGCGGCTGTGATTTGTCTAAAGCTGAAATATAGCTTTTGAATATAGATTTTTTTCTGAGATTCATTTTCAGGGATTTCATAATGAAGCTGTATCGCGTTGTATCTTTCTTAGGTCGGATTATGCATTTGATTTATTTAAAATGTATTTTGAATGACCTCCTCTGTATTGTAGTAGAGTTCGCGTTCACTTGATCCTAAATAGACCGGAGCTCTTTTATCTCAGGTGTAAAAATGGTCTGTATGCCGCATGTTTTATCTTTCCAGTGTTGCCATTTTGCAGTTTGTGAAATTACTATTGACTGCAATTGCATAATAGCATTTTGCAGTATATCATGGAACCAAGGCTTCTGCGAGCATGTAGGTTACACAGGGAGTTAAAGACTTTGCCTTGGTTTATTTTGGCAAGATGACGTTTGTTCTTCAACTGTGTCACAACGGGATCAGAACATACAGCTTCATATCCTTTTGTTGCCAGGGATCTGGACCATGTACTCATTGCTGCACGTTTGATGTACTTGACGAAGGTTTCGCGCTTCATTCGGGCAATGGGTAACGGATGTGAAATGCTTTAATAGACTTATGTAGGATACTACTAAGTCCCCCTGTTTGAAAAATGGGATCAGAAATCTAGTCACAGCCTAACAGAATTTTTGTATCTTGTATGCCCTGTTAATTATTCCCTCTTCTGTATTAAACTCTGCATCAAAACTGGTCACGCTGTGCATGCTAATGAAGGAGAATTGTTAGCGAACATTTACATGAAGTTATTTGGCCAGTGCTCTTATCCAGAATAACTAGCACATTTGTATTATGTCAGCAGGGTTGTTTTTTTACATCATGGTAATTACAAATAGCTTGTTTTTCCATGACACCTGTTTATGCAAATCTATATATACTGGAAAAATTCGAGTTCATTTAATATTGCGCTTCGGGTTAACATTGTAATGAATTTCTTTATAAATATTTTGTTTGCGGGTACCAAAGAGGGTAGGCCCCTGGGACTTAAACCTGTCACCTCCTGGTCACAAATCCGGTCCCATCAGTACCACGAAGCTTTTATTCGTAACATAAGCGAGTATTTTAGAAAACATTAGAAGCGATATTCTTTGAAAGCTGGCTCGTTTGGAGAGCCCCCACGCAGCTTTCATATTTAATTAGGGAGTAACTTTTGAAGTCAGGACAGTCACTCCGCGGAGTTTGACAAATAGTGATTATTTCCGTGTCTGACAGTCAGCTGACAGAAGTGTTACCCCAAGTGTGTCCACTGCATGAAATATACAAAACGATAATGACATGCTATGGCATGAAATAATTCACTCGCCATATGTCTGGGAAAGGCGAGGCGGCGAAGCGCTATTGCGTTAAGCGGCATGGGAGGGTGTGCAAGCGGGTCCCGCCAGCTGGGGGACGAAGCGGGATGAAGCGGGACGCCCTTCCGCCGTGGTCGCCAAAGAGTGGAGGGATGAGTAGGAGTTCAGCTTTCCTCCTGAGCTTTAAAGGCATCGATGAATAGATGGAAGGAAATATGGTATTGTGAGACAAGGCATGTCTGAAGGAGAGTGCTGGCTCACTGCACACGCTACAGGAAACCAGCAGTTATGCTGCATTCTGCGTATTTTTTGTCTATATATTTTTCGCTAGGCACGCTACACAACATTTTCGTGTAATTATAAATGTATAGGAGTCCATCATCTTATATATAGGTAGGTACACATTTTGAGATTTCTGAATTCTGACTGGATTTGTCCCGTAGAAAAATCTAATAATTCCTTTTTTAGATGAGAATTATTTTTCTAGATGTTTATCTGGTCATGTACAAGGCTTTCTGCAAAACCAGCAAGATGCTAATAACGTGTCTCCCCCTCCGTTGTATGTCTTTGGTAATTGCCTTTTTTTTTAGACAACTTTGGAAACTTTCTGACTTATGTGAGGGGCAGTCAAGCGTTCACATCTTCCCCGCGTCAAACGAACCGGCAGTGAAACTATTACTTCTTATCACTCCCCCACTGAGATGTCGCCACTTTAAACATACTTTCTGTATTTATTTGAAGGCCCCAAAATGTTTACTGAGAAGCACTGCAAGGGTAAAGAAAATAAATGAAATCAGCATATTACCAGAGAATACCTAATGCTTATGCGCCACTGTTGAACTCGACTGAAATGAGCTTCTCCTCTCTGCGGTAAGGCTGGATTGCGTGGAAGTGAAACGGGCCACCAGGGAGAGGAGGCGACAAGGGCGGGGGGGGGCGACGATGCGGTGATG